ATAATAATTTTTTATGATATTCGATAAATACTCAACGGTTAGTTTTACCTTCACAGGCTTTCGGATTGTGTAAGAAGGTCATCAGTATGTCCGCGTGCCTGCATCTTTTTAGATGACATTGACGCATTTACTGAAACCACAAGGACTCGTATGAACATGAATCTCTTTTTCTACACCTGATATTTCCCCACTGTTTTTAAATTGCTTGCAGTCTTCGCGTCTGTGGTAGTCCTGACGTGGCGCGATATTTTGAAGTAACATAACGTCGTATAACAAGAATATCGATAAATTATGGGTCTAACGATATCTTCTCTCTTTCAACGTTTCTTTGGCAAGAAGAATATGAGGATACTAATGGGTAACTGTGTATATTTTTGTCTTCCTTTCATCGACAGCTTTTCGGTTATCTCAGCTACCTAAACTAAATTAATTAGTTAGCTCCTTTCGAATTTTATAAATCAATACTTTAAAAACAAAATTCTCTAAATCAATTGAATTATCTTTGAGTATACTGTCTTTGACCATTAAAAATTTTTTATAAATGTATTCCTGTACCACTTTTGCATTTATCGTCCGTGATCTATTTCGCTTGTCTCCTACCGCTGTGCATTGTATTAAGTAGCGAGCCACAGTGCTACTCTTTGTTTCCAAACCGTTTTTCTAGTTGTCTAATCTGAGTCGCGTGGGGTCCGCCACATTTTACTTTCTAATTCTTTGTATAATCGAACTCCACTACTGCCAATATCGCTATATGTACGCTGACAGTTAAAAACGAATTTTCTCGGGAACCCTTGGCCAGTCTATTGGCACGCCGCTGCACCTACAGATAAACGGCAATTTCTGATTTGGGGCCACACCTCACATTTTTGTTTAGGGAAATGTGGTATTTTTTATTGGCTGGTTTACCTAGCGACTGAATTCGAAACTCTAGCTCACACTACAGAAACAGATTCTATTTACTGACTGCTTCCAGAAAAAAAATCAAGATTGATGTTCTGACAATATGTATTTACTATGTAAATACTTTTAAAACCTTGTTTGGTGACTACATAGTTCAACCAACAGTGTTGGTCACATTTCAACGGATATCATACTGTTCATGAGACACGTACTCCTTCCTACACGCATACCCTCCAGCGAATTTCAAAACGTAACTAGCATCAACTGGAACATCATACCATGCGCACACCACACAGTACGGACTAAAGTTTATCT